ATGGGTAAAGCCTGCTGCAGTGGAGTAGTGGATGCAGAGGGACTTAATTTGGGTTTTTAAGTGGGATGGGTGGGGACTGAATCATCAGCATGGAAGAGATGAGGGTGGGGTTTCGTGGTGAGAGTTTTTGGAAGGAGAAAGGGGAATGAGAAATTGAAACCAGTCTTCCTGTTATTTTTAGGCATTAGACAAGTGAGCTCATCTAATCCTAGCCACCACCCCAAATTAGGAAAAATCAAATCATTGTCCAAGGTCGCACACTACTAAGATCATAAAGCAAAACCTTACCCACCCAGGGATGAGTCCTCCCCAGAATTCAGAATCCCTGTCTGGGACTGCATCTATTCCACTGGCAAAATTCTCTCTTACAAGGTTTCCTTTTAACTTTTTTTATATCTTCCTAGTCATTTTGAATATCAACGGTTTGCAGTTAATAACCCACACCACAATGGATTCATTCAGCCATTCACACATCCATTCAAAACATTCACTGTGCTGCTATGAGCAGGTACTAAGTGTTACTAAGAGCACTGTGCTAGGTGTTGGGGACTCAGCAATGAACAAGAGAGAAAGGATGCTTGTCCTTTTATAAACAGGCTGAGTAGTTTTGGGTTTCTTTTTACTAATTGCTCTGAAGATCTTAATCAAGCTTAAAAATCCTTCCTGAAAGATTCCTATCAGAAACTTTTTTTTACCTAATTGTTTATCCAAGACCTATATTCCAGTCTCCTGCTAGGGAAGCTGACTTACGTTTTACTGGATAAACACAAATATTGTTTTGAATAAAAACAGTGGAAGGCCTTCTAAAGATAAAAATCTCCTGAGGAGTCTCTGCTTTTAATTTCTGGTTAGCACGTGGATCTCAATAAGGGGAGATTATTAAAGAGTCTCCTCATAATTTCACACTGTTGGCTCAGGATGAGTTTCTGAAAGTAAATCTGGACCTATTTCTCCAAAGGACATTACAACCACTTTAAGTCTAAAGGGCAAGGTTGGGGGTGGGGGTGGGGCGGGCACTAGAACGCTGGCTACGTTCCAGTATTACTTCTGGGAGGTAGAAGTGATGGTGAAAATGGACAGGGCAGAATCTGCAGAAGAATGAGGCCTCACCTTCTCACCCTGGGAGATTCAGGGATGGATGAGATGAGGCCACATAGACGGCTTGAATTAAATTCCAAATGGTGCTTCTGGAGTCCTTGGCCACATCAGATGGGGACTGTGGGAGCCTGCATATGGAGAGGAGTATAGAGAGTGGGAGTCTCATTTAGCTGTACTTGATAGGGGCCACTGATGGGAGACTCTAGTTGAGGAAGGATAGGAGGGAACCAGGAAGCATCAGCTTGGCTCTGGAGAGTTGGGGCCTGCCAGGCCTGAGGGATTGGCTGGTGATAGGACAGGTCCTGTTGCACGGGGCAGTGGGACCATCAGAGATTAATTTGTTTTAAATGTGAGAGTAGGGGCTGAATCATCAGGTTAGGAGCCGAGAATGGTAGTGAGGGTTTTTCAGAGGAGGAAAAACTGTGAAGGAGTGAAACCAATCCTCTTATAATTGCTAGGCATTTTTACAAATTAGCTCATTTAATCCTTAATTTCTTGCAATTCACTATCTTGTCTTCTTTTCTTCTTCTTTAAGTAATCATAATTTGTAACAACTATATTTATTAAATGAAATTAAAAAGAAGACTAATTGAGAATTTTATATTCTAAAAAACAAGACTAACTCTTCTAGAATTAGGGAAAATTGTCTTACTTATACAAAGCCTAATACTCATTTTTTTTCTATTTATGCATCAGTATAATTAAGGGAAGCAGTAGGTCAATGAATATATGATGAAAATATTAGATTTGAGACATGTAGAAATTACAGCACAAGGAAGTTAGACCTGTTTAGAATAAATTGGCTAGTTCCTGAATGATCCAAATAATTGAGGTAAAGAGGGAAATCAGGAAAGTCTCCAGTTTACAAATAAATTGAGGTTCAAAAATGTGTTTGGGGACTTCCCTGGTGGTTCAGGGGTTAGGACTCCGTGCTGCACTGCAGGGTATGTGGGTTCTATCCCTGGTCGGGGAACTAAGATCCCACAAGCTGCGTGGCTTGGCCAAAAAAAAAACAAAAACAAAAACAAAAATGGGTTTGTAAATTAGTTATCTGAGATTTGGTACATTTCCCCAATGAAAAGAAAATTTTAGGTATGGCTATAACCTGATACCTGATTATCTCATCAGAAAATAGCTGAAATCCATTATTTGTACACAAGAACTGTACAGCAAACAAACCAAAATTATCACAAAATACTTAAAATTAACGCAACATAAAGACAACGCACTAAGAAGACTTAATTTTAAATTCAAGAAAGAGAAAGTTTAATTAGGAGGAGGAAAGAGTTAACTGAAGAATCTGGTGGAGAGTCTGAGGATGCCCTTTGGACACTGAGTAGGGACTTTTGGGATAGATGACAGATACTGTTTTTAAGACATAATAAAGGAGATTTTCTGAGTGCCCATCATTTATAACACCCAGTAGTTAAAAACACCACTCATTCAAAATCCACCAATTAAATATGCCATTCAAAGCAGAGTCTTTAGGTGGTAGTTTTTATGCACTTTGCACTCCAGCCATTTTAGAAATTCAATTCACACACACACAAAGGCACTTTCCTTCTTTTGGTTTTGCTGTTCACTTAACCAGATCACCCTTTCTCCTCTTCATTTCCTGACAAAATATCCTCCCTCGAAGCCTAATTCAAATGACACATCCATCAATTTCTTAAATCCCTTGACAAAATATTAGCTGTCTCTCTTCTGAAACCAGTTGCATTTTGATTACATTTTATGCATCTTGTTTATGATTTAGTTTGTCTCCCATTGTAGTATTTGTATTCATGCTCTATCTGTAATGTTAATGGGAGTAGACTCTTGTGTAGGCCTTCTCCACAGCTTCAGACCACCTTTGCAAACAGTGTTCCCCTCAGCCTGATTCCCCAGCTCCATTTAATTTTTTTAATAGAAGACTTCATACTGGACATAATAGGTATTTTTTATTGTCTGTCCCCTCCACCAGAATGTATGACTTATGAGGGCAGGGACTTTGTTTCATTTACTGCATTACCCTATCCCCAGTGCCTAGAACTGCGCCCGATCCACAGTAGGAACTGAATAAATCCATGTAACTGGAAGTGAAAGAAATACCAACTGGGGTATGTATATCAAAACACTGAGTCTAATAATTCATTAATTCTATCACTATCTAGCTGCAGGACACAGCAAGTCGTTAACCTGTGATGGGCTTCATTTTCCTATAAAATCAACAACATTGTTAAACATAGGATTGCTGAGTTCTGGTGTCATTCCATTACTCTGAGAGTAGAAACTGAGAGAGATGATGAAGAAAAGGACTTCAAGTAAGTGGATGTGTGAGGGGAAAAGAATGCTCCAGGCCACACTGAAGGAGCTACTCTTGGTTAAGGTCAGAGAGAAAATGATAAGCATAAGTGAGGAGAAAAAGATGCAGAGGAAAGGGCTGCCTTCAGACTCCTTTGCCTGTCAACAGTGCTCTGGGAGAGGTGCTCAAAGTAGAGAGGAGATGTGCTCAAACTAGGGAGCCTGAGGCCACGTAGAGATGCTGGCTGCTTGGGAAGAGGCTTCCAGGGAAGAGGAAAGGTAAGCTGAAAGGGGAGTGTGTGTGTGTGTGTGTGTGTGTGTGTGTGTGTGTGTGTGTGTGTGTGTGTGTGTGTGTGTGTGTGTGTGTGGCGAGCTCCACATGCTTTGCAATTTTGCCTCTCTCTCCAGCAAACAATCACTCTGCTGTGACTTTGTCAAGGCCTGATTAAGCGTGTGGCTCATATGTGAAAGCAAATAAGTTCTATCTATACAAAGAACACATTCGTTCTACATTTAATTTATGACAAAAGCTCTTCTTTATTCCCCAAAGCAGACTAGATTCTTATCTCTTACCTTGAATCTCCACAGCACTTTGCGCTTCTCATCCTAGAATATCTTACTGCGTCTAGGGTTGCCGGCTTCTGTCCTCTTGCCTCCCGGCGCCTGCCCAGTGCCGCCCCTCTCACCACGCTAGTAAGTCTGAGAAGGGCACTTTCTGTCTTTGCGTTCTCTGCACCAGCCTAGTACAATCTCCTGTAGTGTCTGTGTCTCCGTTTGTCTTTCTTTCTCTCATACTCATGTATTTTACGTTTAACTAATAATAGGGAATAGCTCAAATTTAAGTTATTTGAAAGTTCTAGGCTGGTTCTGAAAATAGGAACCGACCCCAGGCGGAGGTTTTTAAATTTCCCAAGTAAGTCACCAACGAGCTGTATATACATTTAAGAGAAGGCCATCTAGGAAGCAACGATTGACACTTTTCTTTTAAACAAACTTAAAAATAAACTTGGGAATTCTAAACCGTGGTCAAAGACGTGCTGTCCTTGCCCGCAGAGACTGTCTGGTCTTCACGCCCCTACACCGTTAAGGCCGAGAACCGGGTGAGGCCCGCGTTCCTGAGGCCACAGAGGGAGGGAGGCCCCAGCGATCCCAAACACGGAGTCCTGGACAACTCCCCACGCCCTCTCGCTGCGCGAAGGCCAGGCTGTCCCCGGGGCCCTCAGGGAGCCGCGCCCCTCCCAGGCTGCGAGGACTCGGACCGGCCGGGCTGTACGCAGGCGCACTGAAGCCCGGGCAGGGGCGTGTCGAAGGCGCGCAGGGATGGGCCGGCGGGGGCGGGGCGGGGCCGATGCCGTTTCCGTTGCCTGCACCCCGCAGAAAGCAGCTGCCTAGAGCGTTCTCTGCCCGTGTCTCTGCGCCGCCGGTCTCCCGGAGGTTCGGGTCTGGGTGAGTGAGAGCTCGCCTAGCCCGCCGAGGGCAGCTGGGGCCGGCGGAGGGCTGTCCCGGGAGCTGCGGAGAGGGCGGGTCTGCGGAGAGGGCGGATCTCCGGCGGCGCCCGGGGGGCTGTCTGGACGCCGCGGCGGCGAAGTCCCGCTTGCTGAACCCGCCATCTCTCTCTTCTCTTGCAGTCCTGCATCAGTCACCTTCTCCTGATCTGGACAGTCGCCATGGCACAGGTAAGGCCGAGCGCCCCCGCTCAGCGCTCGGATTTACCAACTTTGTAAACTGTTCAGGAGTTCTAGAATTTGTTGGAAAGCCAGAAGAGTTTAGGAGTAAACTGAATCTGTCTTCGGGAATTTCTTACACCTTTCTTTTTCCCCTTTGCTCCCCTTCCTTGGGAGCGCCTACCCGAACATGCTCCCACCTGGCGCTGCAGCGCAGCCGCCGGTGACGTGGCCGGATTTGGGGGCGCTCCCTCTTCGTGAGTGAATGTGTAAAGGGAGCCTTCCTAAAAATCCAGAGAGTGGCTGAAATTAGAACCAGAGCAAGTACAGCTCCTTGTGGTCATGTGAAGCGAACGCATTTCTTTTTTCCTTTTCTTGGCTTTATTTATTTATTTCGCCAATTTTCCTGTATTTGAATACTATGAGTGGGCGTTGCCTGTTTCCAGTAGAGTTGTAGTGGAGCTTTTTCCAGTCGGTCAACCCAGTTTAACTAAAATGAACTGTTCGTCGTTGGCACTGATTTTTTTCCCCCCCAAGCAAAAAGATTAAACCGAAGAGCTGCTGTTCCTAAGTAACGAACTCGCTGAACGAGCTCTGAATTGAATATGCCTTGGGACTGTTTCAGAATTTGATTACCTAATAACGGCTTTCTTTGCTGTTTTTAACATTTATCAAAAACGTAGGGAAGAGAAAATCATTTAATTTATATAGTACTCTTTAAAAATTGACCGTGTTGTACAATCTTTTGTGAATAAAATATCGGTGCTTACGACAGCTCCACCCCGAAACTAATTTTACAAGATCTCATCGATCTAACTGGCTTGTCAGAGTCCAGAAACTTTTTTTAAACAAGTGGTTCAACTCAAACAATGCCCTCTTTCATGTATAGTTCACTTAAAAAAAAAAATCAGATTGACTTATCAAAATTGAATAAGGTTTCATGATCCTTTCCAAGAGAAGATAGGAGGATTAAGGGGAGTTGGTAATTTTATTAAATTTATACAGTACTTCCATTCTTACTTCCTCTCTTTCACTTAAGAAGGGTTACAAAAAACCAAGCCTCATATTACTTCAAGTGGAAACTTCGGTTTAGATTCTTCAACATGTAAAGGATACTTTTATATGGAATTAACTTTGCTGAGCGTTATTTTTCCTATCTTGATATGCTGGTGTGGTGATGTGAATGATGATTTTGCAAGCATTAAAGAATAATTCTCTTTATCCTAGCTCTTTTGGCTGTTTCTCTTGTCTCTTTTGTAAATTTACCCAGTGATTTCTGAAGTTTTTCAGTCAGTTCCTTTAATTATGTAGACTCTACCCAAGATAGCATAAGTGAACACATTTCCCCAAATGTGGACATTGATAATTTCAAAGAATGAAAATAGTGTAAAAGCCCTTATATATACAAAACCTGGGAGAATGGTGGCTTGTACTATAGAATTTTGTACATGACCTCTATTACAATATAACCAGGACTGTTTTCTATCCAAGCCACAGTTTTTAGTTATCATAAAAGTTACAAGTAATATTAAGAAAGATAGTGTTGAATTTTACACTAGCTTTGTTATTAGTTATCCTTGGAAACCATGGAAGTAAAACATTTTGTTAAATATTTAATATTAAGGTGAAGTTTTGTTGGCTTTATACTTACATTTGATGGTGTGCAGAATGCCCGCATTATGGAATTGCACTTTTACTGTCTAAGATTTCCTTTGGACCCCATTGTAAGCTGAAGTACTTCAGTGCTGGGTTTCAAAGAGTTTCCATGGTAGTACCTTTTGTTGACGTGCCGTATGGGCTTCCACTCTCTGGCCATCTGTAGAGTAATGGCATCATGGCTGAGTCTTAGAGGTGCACATTCTGGCAATTTAAAATATGTTGTTAAATATTAATGTCTTTTATTTAATGAAAAGTGAAAATATAGCCTCCCACAACAGTGATTCTTCATGGTTATGAGCTACATCTTCCATACCAGTGGTTTTCTCTTCTTACTTAACATTGGGACCACCCTGCAGATAACAGTTTGCAGATATCCAGGAATCAGTTATCGCATATGTAGATCACGGGCACGACTGTCTTATTACGAATTTGATTGATCTTTGACAGATACATTGGAGTTTCTTTATGTAAAAAATATTATTAGGTATATTTTACACTCTTATGAATATTTATATTAATATATTTATAAGTAAATTATAAATTATATTGTAATGAATGTACTTCATGTCAATGCTGCTTTTTTAAAAAAAATTTTTAAATTTAGTTTTTGGCTGCATTGGGTCTTCGTTGCTGCGCACCGTGCTTTCTTTAGTTGCAGCGAGCGGGGGCTACTCTTCATTGCGGTGCGTGGGCTCTAGGCGCGCGGGCTTCAGTAGTTGTGGCACGTGGGCTCAGTAGTTGTGGCTCGCGGGCTCTAGAGCACAGGCTCAGTAGTTGTGGCGCACGGACTTAGTTGCTCTGCGGCATGTGGGATCTGCCCGGACCAGGGATCGAACCGTGTCCCCTACACTGTCAGGCAGATTCTTAACCTGCCTGGCAATATTGGGCAAATATTGGGAACAACATAAAAAGTGACTTATCATGTTAGGTAAGTACATTCAGAGTTGGAGGCATTTGTGGGGTACCACTACTTGAGCTCTGCCCTTCTGGTCCTAATCCTCATCCATTAGTATTGAAATATGTGGGATTCAACCAGTTAACTGTTATTTGGAGAGAAATAGTCTAACCTGAGGCTTCCCAGTTTTTCTCAAAGAGAGCACACTGGTTAACTCTATCTTCTCCATGACATACAAGAATATAAATTACAGATATACCTGCATGTAAACAGTCCCTGGACAGTACTTTTTTTATAGGTTTGAAACTATTAATTTGAATGGTTTTATATTTATCTGGTTTGAAACCACAGCATCTATGTTATTTTAGCATAAAAGGCTAAATGAGTAATAAATTATTATGATTATTGTATCAGTAACAAAATCTACTATGTTAAATTTGGGTACAAGCTAGTTGAATATATTTACTAAGGAATAGCCAAAGAGCTGTTAAAATTGCCTGAGTTATCTATATATATTAAATATTTTTGAATCCCTTCATCTTTTTTCTCTCAACAATCAACCTCTGTTTATATAAGTGGGAATTTTTCATTAGGTTTTAGGGTCATTTCTTTAATCTGACTTACAGTATTTTGGGTTGGATTTCTTAAATAGGCTCCTGACCTATTTCTCTCCTATGGCTTTACTTGCTTACACAGGTTTCTTTTTTTTTTTAAATCTTAGTATTTAACTACAGCCAAATTATTTCATAGATATTCTAATTTATTTAAGTATTTGAAAGTACATTGTGTAGTTCTGTGTTCTTTGGTTTGGAAAAATCAAGAGTTGGCTATATTTCATAGACAAATGATCCATTTAATACATTTTAATTCAATTTAAGCCTTTTATGTCTTTAATTTTCTTTAGGATAATGAAACTTTAAACAATTACATTTTGGGCAGTCTGAACTTAGTTTAATTTATAGTGTTGTTTACAAAGAGTTAATATATTCAGGGCATCAGGAATGTCATGAAGCAAAAGCAGGGTATGTAATTTTTGACTAGAAACTTCATGAACATCACAGTTATCAGACTGATACATATTTACACTGTACAAAATTTGAAAAGAAATTTTTTTGGTTGGCTTGAAATCGTTGCACTATGATAATTTACAAGGGCCCTGTGCAAGCAGGATCAATATAAATAAGGGAATTTGAGATGAGGTTCATTCCAGAGGAGTTGACTAGATGTTGAGTGCATCTTTTCATGCCATTCACTTTCAGGCCAAATCTCTCTGTAGTGATTCCCTTGGGGGTTCTTAGATCAGGTTACCTGTTTACCCATGGCCTATGCTGCTTTGGGTTAGTCTTTCTCAGTTCCAGATTCCTTGACTATGGTCTTCATTTTGGATGCTGAGAAAGAACTACATCACAAGCTGCTTGGCTGCTTTGCAAGCCACTGAGCAATTCACTGGTGTTTAGTAAACCTTAGTTCTCTTATCTTGAGCTAGTGCCCCTTGGACACAGTTGGCAAGTTAGTCTGAGGTCCAGTTCTGAAATAAATTTTATTCGTATAACCTGTATACTATTCTAAAACTTCACAAATATATCAGTTGATTTTGTTTGTTTGTTTGTTTACCAAATTAGTGCTCCTAAGACCTTTTCTTTGTGTTTTATGGACCTATCTTTCAGTTTATTGGTTTGTATAATATGTACATCTGTAAGCAATTGATTAATTGAAAGGAATACATATTCCTGTTGGTATCATTTTCTTTGGACTCCAGTTCCTAACTCTTCTCTTTACTTTGTCATTCATGCATACATTCATGATTGTTTGAAGCTTTTGAGTTCCTACTATGTGTCAGGTATTATTAGACATGGGAAATAAAAAGGGAAATGGAGCTGAGATTTATTGATACAACAGGTGCATTGCCAAGTCCTTTTTATGCATTATTTAGTGCTCATAATACAGTTTTGGAAATAAATATTACTATTTCAGTTTCACAGAAGAGGAAATTGAGGTAACTTAGCCGACGTTAGTCATATGGGACAAAGGAGGAAAGGCATGATATGTAGAGGCAACAGGAGCAAAACTATACGCTCGGGGGTGTAAAGGAGTTTGGCAGGGCCAGGAGCTGCAGGCAGTCTGGTCTTGCTGGCGTGAAGCTGCAGGCAGTTGGGGAGATGGAGCCCTGCCTCGGAAAGGGGAGCCGGAGCTAAAGAATACGAGCCATTTTGTAGGTAATGGAGAGCTACCACAGAGTCATTAGTTGGGGTATGCCATGGTCAGATTTGTATGTAACCAAGATAGCCCCAGGGCCAATGTGATATTGTGCTTCTGGGGGCTGCAGAGGCAAGATGGTGGTGTGGGAGTTGAGGAGGGGAGAGGGGAGCGGGACATTGGAAGACTACTTGGGCATCCGTTGCTGTAATCCCGGTGAATCTTAAGGGCTTAAACTAGGCAGTAGCTGGGACTTTAGATA